AAAGGTGGCGGAACTCAAACCTGGCCACGCCCTCATCAAACCCTAGGACCGCCCCTTTAGAGAACAGGAATGCAAGTAAAATTTGGGAGGGGCTATTTCCGGTGTGGGAGGGGCTATTTCCGGTGCGGCCGGCCCGGAAAAAGGTGCCGGAACGCGGTTCCGCCGCGTTCCGGCTGAAAAAAAGCCCTGGTTCTTATAACCTACAGCAGGGGTAGTCAATCTTGGCTCTTTTATGACTCGTGGACTTCAACTCCCAGAATTCCTGAGCCAGCTGTGCAACCTAGATGTGCTGGCTCAGGAATTCTGGGAGTTGAAGTCCACGAGTCATAAAAGAGCCAAGGTTGACTACCCCTGACCTACAGAATTCAACTTTCCACACCATATTAGCTTATCTAGTGTATAGTGCAAACACAGCCTCCCCCTTAGAGGAGCCAGGGACCTTGCTTTTTCCCGTCTATCTTAAACACTTGGATCTTTAAAATGCAGACCCATCACTTGTACCCAGTTGCTACTCTGCCTCTTTTTGAGAAGAAAATGGGAAGAAAAACTCTTTGGATGGAGGTGGTCTTCGTGTTGAGCAAACGGTACCCCCAAGCTATCAACAAGGTATGCTTATTTGGGAATATGCCAATTGAAATCAGTGGCATATTGATTTCCTCTAATAATAAAATAACCAGTGAGCAATCAGACACCCACAAAATGGCCATTTAAAAAAAAACCTTACGCTGTGGCCAGCCTGATGCCTTTCAGAAGTGCTGGCAATGTGGTTGATGTTATCCTTTCAGTGGTGTCCCACTCGAAGTGATTCTATGGATTAGGTTTCTCCGTGTCTTCCGACAATCTTGCACTGCTTCTTTGAGTTCTATGCTCTGGCTGGTGTCAGCTTTGACAGTGGCTGGCCCTGTAAGATCAGAATAACAGAGTTGGCAGGGACCTTGGAGGTCTTCTAGTCCAACTCTCTACTCAAGCAGGAGACCCTATATCAGGGGTCTTCAAACTTGGCCCACTTGTGGACTTCAACTCCCAGAACTCCTCAGCCAGTGTTGAAGTCCATAAGTCATAAAAGGGCCAAATTTGAAGACCCCTGCCCTATACCATTCTGGACAAATGGCTGTCCGTTCTCTTCTTAAAACCTCCAGTGATGGAGCACCCACAACTTCTGGAGGCCATTTCTGTTCCACTGATTAATTGTTCTAATTATCAGGATTTTTCTCCTTAGTTCTAGGTTGCTTCTCTCCTTGATTGCTTCTGGTCCTGCCTTGTCCTGGGCTTCTGGAGAATAGATTGACCTGCCCCCCCCCCTTCAAATATTGGAAGACTCTGCTGTCGTGTCACCCCCTAGTCCTTTTTTCCCATTAAAGTAGGCATGTCCTAATGCTCAGCTGGTGCGGTCATCCTGACGGGATCCTGCCAGTTGGAGGACTGGGAAAAAGCTGCAAGAACTCCCTCATCCTTAAACCTGTGCCGTTCAGACGCACTTTGGGAACCCGGCCGGCTATTCCCGGCCGCGAACTCGCCATGCCGCCTCCTGCCACGTGAAAGCCTCTGGCCACGCCCCCTCCGCGCTCTGTCTCGCTCATCCCCGTTACCCAGAGCGACACGTCACTACTCGCGCCTCAACCCAGCCTCCCTCATCCTTCAGGACAACCAACCCCGTCGGCCCGCCTCCCCTCTCACCGGAGACGGAGCTGGCGGCGCTCGTCCTTCGAACTTCCGCTTTGCTGACGGACGCGGCTTCGGCCCAGTCCTCTTTTCCGTGGGGCGGGCCCACCGCCGTGATCGACGCGCCTCTGGGCCAGTAGCGATCTACCGTTCGAGGCTCGGGGAAGCGGGCGGGCTGCGGAGCTGGGAGTGGGCGCGCGTGGAGCGGATGGCGGAGGGAGCGGGGCGGAGAGCGAATTCTGAGTCCCCGGTGAGGCATCGTGGCCCGGAGGGCGTCTCAGGCGAGGAAGGGGAAGGGGAAGGCGGCGTGGCTGCAGCCTGAGGAGGAGGAGGAGGGCGGCAACGGCTGGGCGGTGGGATCAGGGCTGGGGGGGGTTCGTGGATACCCCCCCCGATCACCCCACGCGCGATCGGCCTAAGGCGGCCTCTGGAAGGAAAGAGGGGGGTGGCTTCCCGAGGCCGCCGATCGCGCCGCGCGGCTTCCTTCTGCATCGGCCGCCGCATCTCCCGCTTCCCCCCCTCCCCCCAAGCCTTGCAGCTGGAAAAGCAGCTCCTCAAGGGAATAAGGTGCCCATCCTTCCCAGGCAACGGGGAAGCGCGCGTGTGAGATGGGCTTGGCCCGAAAGCCCTCCTTCAGAGAATGAATCGAGTCTTGAACACGCGGGCAGGATGACTTCACACGTTAGCGTTAAAGCGGCGTCAGTTTAAAGCAGGGGTAGTCAACCTTGGCTCTTTTATGACTCGTGGACTTCAACTCCCAGAATTCCTGAGCCAGCTAAGCTGGCTCAGGAATTCTGGGAGTTGAAGTCCACGAGTCATAAAAGAGCCAAGGTTGACTACCCCTGGTTTAAACCCTGGTTCCCTAGCGCCCCTGACCCCCTTTAAGCGAGAAGCGGAGCTCGGGGTGCCCTTGAGCAACGCGTGTGCAAGCAGCCACGGCCCCTCCGCAAGGAGGAAGGTGGAAGGGCTGCCAGGAAGGAGGCGGGTAGTAGCCTAATTTTAGGTCTCGTTGCACCGGACTT